AGTGCCTCCGGTGAGCTACCGCTTCAGATCCACAAACCTTTTCTGCGGAATGCATGGCTCGTCCAATCTGATCCGACTGTTCGTCTACAATATCACCCCGCAGCGCGTTTAGCTCAAGGCTAGTTCTGATTCAAAACGAGCACGAACGGCTGAGTCAGATAAGCGGCCAGTGAGTTAGAGAGTGAACTGCATCAAAACTAACGCATCATCAGATTCAACGCCTATCGCTAAAGTTTGAGGGTGGTGGTGGCCTGCATGTAAACATCGAAAAGCGGGAAACAACGCGGCGAATTTGGATAATCTTAATAAAGATCAGTACATCCAAAATGAGTAAGAATTTCTGAAGCAGACAGTAGGCCCGTTTAGGAACAGGAAAATAAAGTGAATTAGTATGGTTTATGGTCCAACTGTGTATATACAACTCATCAAGCAATAAATTTTCGAGAGACGAAAAGTCACTGATGCAAAATTAGATATGCCTTCCAATGTCGTCAATTACTCAAATGAGAGTCCTTACAAACATATCCTATTGGTGCAGTCCACCATAGTGCTATATCTCACCTATTTAACCATGTTAACGGCCGCAGTAAATGAATACCAATGTCCCAATTTTTGTATGTTTTGGTCTCCTGGCTCCGTGAATACGACCAACCCGGGATAAATAATGGGAAATGCCTATTAGGTGGGGATTCGCAGCATCAGATGGAACCTGGAGGTAAACCAAACGACAGGTGCAAGGATTACTGCAGTTCGTATAAGTGTATTAGGTGGTGGTGCAGTGACTTCGTTGCCGTTACCGGTGTTCCTTGGACTCTGTGATCCTAGGTTCGAAACCCGCCACCCCTATCCCAATCGTAAGCAGCCTTGCTTTCGTCCAGTCTAATACCACGCCAAACCTAACCGGGCTTCATGTGGTTCGTTACTCCATATCCCGGGGCTCAAGTTGCCGGTTTCAACTACTGAACATTAGGTATTCACGAACATTGAGGTCCATCCCATCACAAACAAATTTAAAAGAAACAACTATGGGATATGAAATCCCGATCCCCACCTTACGTTCGTCGGGGAAAACAAGTAGCTACGAACAGCAGATCATATTGGAAACGGTTATTAATTACCTTCCAACCTTGCGTCAAGTGTTCCAGCTGTCGCGGTGACGTGCAACCGTAATTTTCCGTGATTTGGAACCACGTTTAAGTATGAACTTTCCCTTATCAAAGAATTTGCACCCACGGCTTTCCTCCGTCAGAGATCGTTCTGCACCGTGCACATCTTTGTCTTCCAAATTTTTCTCCCCCTCGCATTCACAAACCTCCGATCCCCTCCCCTATTTAACATTTCGAATTAACATCGGTATTCAGACGACCGTACGAACAGTAGTGCCTCAGATGGAAATACCACCCCCGTTTTCTCGCTTCCGACCTCGAATAGCGTCCAAGTCTCATCAAATCCTCCTATACCAGTTGAAGTTTTTCTTCTTCCTCGATGACCTTTCAAACTAGCCTCATTTAATGTGCATACTCTGACGAACAAAGAACAACAGGTGTTTAGCTCAGAACCTCGAGACCCTAGAAATCGATGTGTCTAAGAAAATGGCATTCAAGACAGCTTTGCCACCCAATTGAGTTCCCCATCAAACCCATCCGCGAAGCTTGACATACGCTTTTCTGTGGGCCCTGAGGCTCCAGTTTCCGATTTTGTAAGCATTAGAGTGCATCACAATGAGACAGTTAAAACTGCGCTCCTAGAATAAATCCCAGTCGAATATGGGCCGGATACAGTTAAAGATACTTCCTACAATAAACCTACACGACCAATTGCATAGCAGCATATATGAATGCTAGACTATGCCGGCTGACTTCTAGCGAGGCGAATTTGGGATATCCTTTGGGAATAGACCCCTGTAGCTCGGAAAACGAGGAACGACTGTTGGCTCTATGTTTAGACCACCGTCTCTTCCTCGCCAGTACGAACTTGACGACAGAACTGCCAATACGCCACTCAGCATCCATCCNACGAAAAGCAACCAACGACCCCACAAATGGCGGGTGTGAAATATACACATACTGCATCACAAGACTCGAATAACTTCAAAAGGTGAATGGTTAAACTATAAAAAATATTCATTCGTCCCATTACTTATTTGTTCTCCATGCTCTCCGTTTTCACCATTCTTATTTCACCTTCTGTATCCGTTCCTACCACTATCATTACTTTGTGTTGGCACCAGGTTCTCAATCCGATGTGATATAT